CCATCTTTCTTCTTGACTAAAATAATTGGAGATGAAAAAGGGCTGTTGCTGGGTTGTACAATGCCCTCTTTTAACATACCTTCTACTAATTTTTCAATTTCTTCCTTTTGACTGTGTGGATATCTATAGGGCTTCACCTTGACTGGATTTGATCCTTCTAACAAAGGAATAGAGTGATCATGACTCCTTGGTGGAGGTAGTCCACACGGTTGGCTAAAGACAATGCTGTAATTGTGTAGTAATTGCACCAAGTCTGGCTCCATGTCCTCTGGAAGTTCAAGTAGAGGAAAATTTTGAGTGGCTTGATGGACCAGCTGCATACTATATATCTCATCTAGGGCATTAGTGTCCATCATTCTCCTTATGTGATGTAGTTGAGCTGTTTCAGGTAACCTGTCCCGGTCACCTTGTAATGTAGTGAAGCGACCATCCTGCAAAAACTTGATTTGCAGCGAATCATAATCTGCCAAGTGGGGCCCAATTGTCTTCAACCAATTTGCACCAAGGATGAGATCAGCACCAGAGAATGATAAAAGAAACACAGGTAATGTGAAAACATTGCCCTGTGCTATTAAAGTCAAATTTTGTATCAAGCCCTCAGATTCCATGTAATTCCCATTACCAACCATTACTTTGAATGAAGGAGTCATCACCACGGGAAGTTTCAAAAATTTCGCAACCCTTGGTTGTAAGAAATTATCAGAACTGCCTCCATCAATCAATACTTTGACTGGCATAGTTCCAATATGTGCTGTGAATCGAATTGTTCCTACTCCGAAACCACCTTTCAAGGCATTCAAAGATAGGTGATGATCTTCGTTTCCAGTTGCTTCCTTGTCTGGGGGTAACTCAGTCTCTAATTCCAAATTATCTGATTCGTCATCCCCCAATTGCAGGACAAAACATTGCTTGTTTGGGCACTTGTGATTAAAAGAGAATTTCTCATCACAGAAATAACATAAACCCTTCTCTCTTCGTAATTGCATTTCTGCTGGACTTATTCTTTTGACATTGGGGTTTCTTAATGGTGGTCCTGGTGGGTTAGGTAACAACGGAGGTAAGGAAGATTTGGAAGCTGGTAGAATAGTCCTTGTGGTGTTTTGAACCCCGAACGTGGTTACTTTCGGAGAAGTTGTGTATCGAGTGTTGTAACTAGGAGTAGGCTTGGTTCCTGGCATATATTTCTCTTCATACAGTTTAGCTAATGCTACGGCTCGTAAGAGGTGTGTTGGAGTCAAGGCAATCACATCTCTTCTAATATCAACATTTAAACCACTCATAAAGCAATTTAAAATAGCTTCCTCGGTTAAACCCTCACAGCGATTTGCAAGCGACATAAATTTCATATAGTAATCTGATACCGAGCCTTGCTGTTGGAGCTTAAATAATTCTGCCATTGGACAATCAAAGGGAGAGGGTCCAAATTGAGATTCCAGAGCACGCTTCAACGCTGTCCAGGTTGTGACCACTTCAATCTTCTGCAACATTTGGAACCATGGCACCACGTCGTTCTCAAAATGCATAGAAGCTATTTCAACCCGCTCAGCATCAGGTGTGTTGTGGTAGTTGAAGAATTTATCTGCTTTAAAAATCCATTCTAAAACTGGGGTGGAGCCATCGAAGTGCGGAAAACCCAGAGAAATGTCTTTTACCGGGTTCATAGAATGGAGCGGATGAACTCTGACTGTGGAATTTGAGTTCGAAGGACTTCCAAATGTCTGAGTGGAATTTTGCAATAGTTGTTGTAAGACGAGTTTGATTTCATCCATCGTTGAGTCTTGATTTCGATTTCTCTCATCTATCGTGCTCTGCAGCTTTTCTACCGTTGCTGTGAGACGACGCAGATCATCGGTCGTTGTGCGGATCTCGGTTTGGAGGTCTTTCAATCTTGTGTTCTCAGCCATGGAAGTCAATGAAAGCACCAATGTAACAGTGCTAAATGAGATATGTATAAAAAACTAACAGAGCAATGGAATTTATTGAGAAATAAAGCTGTCTCAGTATAAGTAATACGTGGATAGCAATGACAATGACAAATGCAGAAAATAAAACTGTATGAGTCACAGCTGAACCATGATGTATTCCATTCCTGTAAAAGAATAAAGGAAAGGAACTTAGAGAATCATCCACAATGAAATCAGAGAAGAAGAATCTGGAGAAAAATGATTGCAGAAAGAGGGACCATACCACCGACTCCTATTCCTGAATGAAATCCCTCCATTTAGTATTTCCTCTCCTCTCACGTGTCCCTCTACGCACTCCCATGCCTTCATCTTTGTTTGACACGTGGCCACTAGGTGTAACCGTTTCTCCCCCCTTAACACTGTCATGCTTTATGCGCGTGACAGTCTTTCCCTTTTGTAATAAAGAAAGAAATTAAAAGATTGTTTGACTTTTTGATAGAAAGAAGTAAACAAGAACGAGGAGTTTCTCTTTAAGAAAAGTAGTTAACTTTCCTAATATTATTAATATTATTTATTAATTCTTCAAAATAAATGTATTTGTGAAGAAATTGATATTTTATTTTTAAAAATATTATCAGTAAATATTTTTCTTTTTGGAGGGCCAAAACAAAGACTGTAATCCTTCCTAAAGCAACAGAGACTTGTTTTAAAAGTATGTCATTTTGATTCCAAATGAAGTAACATAGGATTGAAGATATAGAATTAATAATTAATTAGCCATCTATCAATAAGTTTGACTGGTTTAATCATCTGAAATTCTGCCAACATTTATTTAATCTCAAAATTTCTTCAACACGATGGATAGCTTAGTAAAGGGCGATGAGATTTAATTATTAAAATCAAGACTAAATATATTTTTAATCTCTATTAATGTTTAATATATTTGATTTTTAAAATTTTAAAAATAAATGAATATAATCAAACTTTATTAAATTTTTTATATAACAAATATATATATATATATATATATATATATATATATATATATATTCAAGTTTAATTGTCAACTTAAAAAATGTTTTAATATATAAAAAGAATTAATATCATTAAACTAAAAAGGATAATATTTATTCATTTCTAAAATTTAGAGATAAAAATGTACGTAAGACAAATATTAATTCTAAGTTTAGGTACGTGAATTGATAAAAAATTATCAGTTGGATATTATTCAGGTAAAATCTAATTAATATCCTATATAGTACCATTTTTCTTTATCATGTAGATGACGTATGAGTTACAGAGGTGTAAATAATTTGCATTAAATATCTCTAAAATAAAAGAAGTTCTTTTAGAAAAGTCATATATTTATTTATTTAATAATATGTGTATGAGATAAAAATATTGATAAATTTTTTTTATAATAAAATAAAAATCACTAGAATTTTTTTAAGGTGATTGTTATAAAAAGTAAATTAGTTTTATTTATAGTTGATTTGAAATTATTGACATATTTGTGAGTTTTTTTCATTAGAAAAAATATTGAGAAATCTAACACAGATATTATTTTTAATCTAAAATCTTACAAATAAATNTGTCACAACAGGAAAAAAGTACTAAATTAACTCTTAAATAAATATCTTCATTGAAGAAAGATGACAAATTAACATCAATCTCGCAATTCTCCTCTTTCCGTTACCTCCTAATCTCTACAAAAGATCATAAACCCCTCACATCACTGCTTCCTATTTTCTTTACATAGTAATTCTATGAAAAAAAACACAACGTAACATTCCTAAAGATATATTTATTTTTGTAATAAAATTTACAATATTAAAAATACTTTTAATACATTACATTATAATTATAATTCCTAATTTTTCTAATTTTTATAAGATTATCACATCGTAATTTATGTTATTCTTTACTTGTTTGAGCACCCCCAATATAACGAGCAACCCAAAACCGCCAATAAAGTCATCTTGGTGGAATTAAAAAAAGGATTGGACTCGACCAAGGAAAGATAGTCACAAGACGTGTTAGAAGTATTATGGGCATATAGGTTTACTCCCCAGTCCCAAAGAAACACCGTCCAGCTTGGTATATGACATTGATCCATGATTCTTGTAGAGAATGGAGAACCATCTTTGCAGTGACAAAAGAATGACGAAGAGCGCAATCAAAATTGTCTTGGTAGTAACTCGGACATGCTAGTCAAAAAATGAGAAAAGACCCAAATTATGAAACAACTACAAAGCAAATGACGATCAAAAGATACAACTCTAAGTTATAACCCAGAAGGTTTAGAATGAGTGACCTAGTATGACGAATGGGTGACTAATTATAATCCTAAATGTACTATTTCGTTAATAGTCTTTTTTTTCTAAGGAGGTTTTTAGTCTAAAAGGTTTTAATAAGGCACTTAATCAATAAAATAAAAGGTTTCTACTTTACATTCTTTTAGGATATTTTGTAAGCAATCAACGAAGTTCTTTTTCACCTATCTAGGCGGTCTTAATTGAACCTTTTACATAGTTCTCTACTCTGTACTTAGACAATCTTGGTTAAACCTTTTATGCAGTTTCCTGTCACCTATCTAGACAATCTTAGTTGAACCTTTCATAGAGTTTTCTATTGCCTATTTAACCAATCTTGATTGAATCACTTATATAGTTCTTAGTCACATAGGTAGTCGTAATCCCAAATTTAAAAACTTTCATTTTTACAAGAAAACTTTGTGGCAATAAGAAATTTATTGCTAGATAGATTGATTATTGGTTACTTCTATTATTTTCGAGAAATTAAAGACCACATGAATAAAAAGGGGGAAAGATTGTTTATTTTTTCACTTCTACTATTTTTATGTATAATAATCATTACAATTTATACATAAAAAATTTACAATTCCCTATAATCTTATTATGAATAAATTATATTCGCCTAAAACCTCAACCGAAATGACCGAGACTGCTTTTTCATAAATTTTTTAGTATAATGGAATATAGTTTTACGTGAATAATTATTAAAAGCTAATAATCTATTAGAGTTTAATACCAAATTTTAAGGTTGTCATATTAAAAGAGTTACTATCCTTGATAAATTGTTTCTAGAAAACAAGGCAAAATTTCTTCTTGGTACAAACGTGAGTGCGTTTGTGTGATCTTGAAACGCAGTTACCGAGCAATTTCCATTTTAATGAGAAATTGCGCAGAAGGTATTATTTGTAGCTAAGCAATTCATGGTTGAAGGTGCTATAATCTAGAAGGTGATGTTCCATTTTGTTGAGGTTGAACTCTCTTAGTCTTTGGTGTAGCAGATGGCAGGGGGTTCAAATTCAAAGAGGCATCCTGTCAATAGGGGCACTGATTCCATAAACACACAGGGTATAATTGAAGGGAATAATCTGCAACCACATACGCAAGTGCAAGAACGTGTTACTGTTTTCGACCAACATTTCTATGATGGAATCCCATGCTTTGCCGATGTTTGCTTTCTCCATAAGTCAAGCTCAATCTCAAAGGTTGATTGCTTGGTTTTTAATTTTGATTTCAAATCATTCATTGATGTCTGTTATGCTAAATATAACTGGGTTTAAGGTATATTTGTAAGTAACAATTATTATTTTTGAAACTGTCTCTTATCTTGGACATGACATGTTTGGATAAACTTTGAAGACAGTGAATTAAAATGTTTCCACAAGTTGTGCACTTCAGCTTTTAGAGTGTGTTTGTTTTATTTTGATTTTCTTTTTCTCTCCTGTGACTGTTTATTTGGAAGTTTATCCAAACTAGTGCTGATTTTCAGGTCTCAGAGATGAGTTTACTCTTGAGCAGAGCTGGCACTATTGGATGTGGAAAGGTTTTGGATACCATTGGGAGCAGCATCACAAATTTAAATGCTGGTAGTGGGTTTGCTTCTGGAGCTGCAATTAAGGGGAATGGAATTTCTATTTTGGCATTCGAGGTTGCAAACACAATTGTCAAAGGTTTTAATCTTCTGGGATCTCTATCCGCAGAAAGTGTTAGGAATTTAAAAGAAAAGGTGCTTCTTTCAGATGGTGTGCAAAATTTAATATCAGAAGATATGAATGAACTTCTTAGGATTGTTGCAGCAGACAAGAGGTAAAATATTGGTTAAATTAAATTACTAAGAATGACTTCTGTACCATCTATAAACCAAGAGTTTTGGGTTTGCATCAATTTCTCTATAACTACTTGGGGAAGAAAATAAGAGGAAAAAAATGGAATAAACTTCTCAAAAAGATAAAATTAACTTATGGAAAAGCTAACAAAATAACATGAGAGAGAACTTTTACAAATTAGCAATGCATAACATCATTTTAGTTTTGGAGAAATTTATTTAATCTTTTCTTCATATTTTCTCTTCCAATGTGCTTCTGAAGATATTTATGCAAATAGACCTTAACTACTTTATTGTTTTGCATTCCCATGGCTCTGTAAAACAGAAATATGAACTGTATGTCATTTTGGATTATGTTGTCAGGAAGGAGTTGAAAGTTTTTTCTAATGAGGTGATTCGTTTTGGAAATCGTTCGAAGGATCCTCAGTGGCACAATTTAGATCGTTACTTAGAAAAGTAATACAAATTGTTCTCCTTCAATTTGTCTAGCCTTTCATTCATCATCAAAGAAATATTTAGCCTCCTTTATTCTTTGATGTATTTTCTTTGTAAATTTTAGAACTAGCGGACAATTAAAGACCGAAAGACTATCAAGAGACGAGGCAGAATCAATAATGCAACGATTGATGACTTTGGTTGATTTTACATTTGTGAGTGTATTCTTTGTATCACTAACTGGTAATAGTAACTTTTGAAGCTGATAGTGTAAGAAAACTTGAAAAGGAAAGAGGTCCATGGTATCACAATGACACATGTATTCTACAAGTGAAACCAATATGATGGTTATGATACCTTCTTGATTAATCTAATCTTTACCCATTTAATTTGATTGTACAAATTACGTGTTATAGAAGGAATACACTGTTACAAGTAATCGTGGAAATGTGTTATATACTGCTTGTATAAATTGGTAGTTTAATAAATTACCTGAGGTGTCATATTTACTGCACCTTTTGTTATCTCTGCTCATTTTCTACCATTTTGCAGTTACTTGATCTTCTAGATTTTCTATTACTTTCCTTTGCCGAAACCAAGTTCTCTATGCATATTCTTTCTTTAAGTGGGTTTAGTTCTAAAATTGGAAAAAATTGTCTGGCTGCAGAAATTGTACCATGAGTTAGATGCTTGGGATAAACTTCAACAACATTTTCAGCGTAAGTGTGAGTTGGAGAATCAAAGATGGAGTTTTTCAATGTTACCAATGGGCCATAGAATAATATTCATCTTGTCTTTGTGTGTAACAATTTTTAATCTTAAATCAGAAGCTCTTAAAGACTTAATTTAAAGTGAAGAACAATTGGAATTAATGTTATTGTTGTTGTTGAAAATAGAGCCATCATTTTAGTCGGTGGTGAATGTGTAGAACCTTTCAGTATATTGAGCAGTATTTATGTAGTACCTTAGATATACTTTTGACCTTCAGTATGTCTCTATCATATAGGTGATGATGATCTTGCAGTCTTGAGCGCGGAAAATAAAAGCCGAAAAAAGAAGCAAATTAATCACTTAAAGAAAAAATCACTCTGGTCTAGAAATTTGGAGGAGGTAACATCAGATTTCTTCTCTGCAAAATTATGTTTAAATTGTCGCTCAATGTTGTCCTCCTTGTTTGTTTTATCCTCAATTAGATTTTCATCGTTTCCGATTCACGTATAATCAAATATACTGTATAGAAATTATTTTTATTTATAAATGTGGGTTCATCTTGTGGATATTATAAATAGAGAACCTGTAAAAGTTGAATATGATTCAAATCTGATGTATTACAGGTTGTGGAGAAGCTTGTAGATATTGTCCTTTTTTTGCATTTGGAGATAATCACTGTGTTTGGCAATACAGGTATGCCCTTAGATTATGTTTGCTTCCCTTGATCTGTAATGCTGTTCTGTGCCAGTTAATATTAATTATTAAATAGCAGTTCTTTCTTATCCATGTCAGGACTTATTTAACACAAGATTTGCTACAAATCTCATTTA